TTTTTCCCCAGGCGAGGAATGTATTCAAAATTATTTGAAGTATTTTCATTAATAGCATATTCCCATTTGACGATCCATGGGATCTGGTATATGGCCATAAAATACAAATGGTAGTCGATTTGGTCAGAATAAGTATTATGCTCACAGAATTTAGTTTGGAAGGCTTGAAAGGAATCAGGTAGTATTTGGGTAGAAGATCCCCAGATAAAGAACCAATGACTGAACCAACTAGGGAATCTCTCAAGGATGGGCATTTTGAATTGAATATACCATGAGTGAGAATTATTTGGATTTTGGTAAAAGAAGACTTTATGCCAAGCTTCAAGATATTTTGAATATCGATAATACTTGTATTGATATTTCATATCAACCCAAATAAATTAGCTCCCCTGTATCTTCAAAACCATTTGAGTCCTCTTAATGGCATCAAAACTAAAGAATTGTATGAGTCTGTTTTAATGGAAACAGGTTCAGTTTTAATTGTCCACTTCTTCTAAGGCAATACCAATTTATATGCCTACTCCAAGTTACAAATCAAAAAGGTTTTGACATATGAAGATTGGGGTAATAACCCCACACAAGGAAAAAAAATATTAAATACAGAATATCATTATAAATATTATCGATATGCAGAATATCTTGAAGCTTAGCATAAAGTCTTCTTTACCAAAATCCAAATAATTCTCACTCATGGTATATCCAATTCAAAATGCCCATACTTGAGAGATTTCCTAGTTGGTTAGGTCATTGGTTCTTTATTTGGGGATCGTCTACCCAAATACTACCCGATTCCTTTAAAGCTTTCCAACATAAATTCAGTGAGCATAATACTTGTTTTGACCAAATCGACTACCATCTTTACTTTATGGCCATATATCATATTCCATGGATCGTTAAATGAGAATATGATATTGATGAAAATACTTCACATAACTTTGAATACATTCCTCGCCTGGGGAAAAATATAAAAATTAAGTGGTGGGATATATTTAGCACTAACCCACAATCTCTTTCACTCAAGAGGATTCCTCCTTCCTCAGAGTTCGGTCATAATACTCTTGATAATAATACTGTTACCCTGAATACATTTTCTTCTTATATTCAAAAGCTGAAACAAACTCATCCCCAAGCTACACTCGAAGACATAGAAAAACAACTCTTTACAATCTTTGTCGATCCTTCTACAATACTCACAACATCAGAAGAGACTGTCCAGTCTGGTAACCCTCTTCTCGAAGATTTTAGCCAAAGACCCGAAGACTGACCCGAAGACCCGGCTCATCGACAGACAGAGACTTCAATCACAACCGATATGACCTAAAGCTGATATGACCTCATCTTTATCTTTACTTTCGTTTGATATGACTCAAAAGCATCTTTCTTTTTAGATGACAAGACTCCAACTACAGTAAATATTCCTTTGCATAGTATTTCATTATCTGAGCGATCGCCACGTGTTGAGAAAAGACCCTTTACACAGTAAAAAGATTCCGTCTCTGATTTGACTAAATATTTGTCACATCAAATCCCTCTTCTGAGAATAAGAAAGCATCCACGTCACTAGGCGAATAAAAAAGCGTCCACATCACCGACACTCCTGAACCATAGAAAGCGTCCACGTCTTCATCACCGAGTCCACATCTTCATCACCAACACTCCTGAGCCACAAAAGCAATCCTCCTTATCCACAAAGCATCTTCCGTCATCTCAACATCATCTCAAGCCAGCATCATCGTCCACCTGGCGGCCATCTACGCTCTACTTCGTCTATAAAACCCCATCCATGTAGAAGTTATAGGCAGGTCGAATTTCAAGGAAGCCATACAAGAAGTCCTTCTTCATCACGTCCTTGAATCACCTCTTCCTCTCATTCCTCTTTCTCTTTCTTCTATCTTTACTACTGTAAATTCTCATACAGTAGGTTTGTTTTCATAACAGTCCTGTGTAAACGATATACAGTTGGTAACTTCTATTTCTCTGTAATTTTAGATGTGTGATTGTAATATCCCTTCTCTTCCCTCTTACTGTCCTTCTGAATGGAGTATCTTCTCCAGTTATTGTATTTGTAACAGTGAGTTGCTATATTTTATGAGTTTTTATATGATCATTCTGTCTATCATAAATGCAATTTAAATTAGTATTCAGTATTAAAATTAGGAATTCAATTCATATTTATTGGATTGTCTTAGATATTTCTTTGATCTCTGCTGTCTTTATAATATGTTTATTCTTTTATTATCTCGAAATTTTACAACAATTAATTAAATATAATTATGCTCTGTTTATGTTCCTAAGATAGTAAGACTCTTCTCATAATCTTATAAATTTTGATAGTAAACTACATAGTAAACTACACTGGTTGATAGCGATGGTTAAAATTAAAACCACTTGTGAATGCTATTTTTACGTTCAATACCCTTGCATAACTAAATCCAAAACTAAACTAAAAGAGTATTTTTGTCTTTTTGTACGAATGATAAAAAAAAAGAAAAAGAAAAAATCAATTCGTGGGCCGATGACCTGCATCTCTCATCCGCCCTTCTATCTTTCTCTACCTCTTTCTCTCCAACTATCTTCTCATTGTTGAGATGCCCTTCTCCACTCTCTGCTAACTCGTCATCTCTCTACAGTCCCAATCTATCGTTCTCTTTAAACTGAGGATCTACTTTTGATGGTTCCTTTGGTGACTTGGATAGAGATACTGATTTGGGAGTATGATGATAATGGAGATGTTTTAGTTCATGAAGCTGATTGGGACTGTTTTGCTTTCAGTCAAGATCTATGAAGAAGGGTTTTGGTACGAAGGCATTGCTTTGGGTGGCTTTGAGGAAGAGTGTGATCTATTCTGGCATGTATCCGCGAAAGATAATTTGCAACAGCTTGAAGAAATGGAATTTTTTTGAAGATGGAGTGACTGATAGAATTTGGTTTTTTTTTTGGTTATTGATGAAGTGGGTTTTCATTTTGGGGACAAATTTAGGGCAGAAAACATTATACTATGATGATAGAAGTAGGTTGCTCTAATGGCTGTTTTGGAGGAAAGCTGTGTGAAAGAAAACAGTATACAAGTTGATAGTATTATTTAGGATGGATGAGGGAGAGATGAGCAGATGAGAGAGAGTCAGAGACATGAGATGTAGAGAGAGGGGGTTTGAAAAAGGAGGAAAAATGGGTTGATGAGATAGAAAGATACCTAGTTGTTCACTTCGGGCCAAAATACTATATTGTCTTTCTACTTTAATTTATAAAATAAATATGTATGTGTATCGATGATAAAAGGAAAATTTACAAGGGATTCTTATTTTAACTTATATTATTTGGGGTTGTTAACTCTAAAAAATTCTTATATATATATAGAAAAATATACAATGAGACAATTTACTTTTGGTATTGGTTATAACTAATCTTGACCTTTGAATGTAAAATTGGGACCCTACATTTATTGTATTGATTAAGCTCAAAGTTCAAAAAGAATTTTTTCGAACTTTATGACAAAACCTAAGCTATCAGAATTCACATATGATGGTTATAACTAATTGTGATTTCCTTCTACTAAAGATAAATGGTATCATTGTATACAATTCCATATGTATATATAAAACAAAGTATTTCCTATGGATGGCTATCTCGCTTTGATTTCTCCCTCCTTTCCAGCTATTTCTCAGTCCTTTTATGTCAATAGATACACCATGTTGTAGGTGTTTGTCTTTGGCATCATATTTCAAGCCAAAGGGGTCCAGCTTGAGGTTCTCAACGAGAGTAATAAATAAAAATAACATAGCTAGACCAAGAGAGTTAGAACACAAAGAAAAAACAACATAAATAAGGAGAAAGTTTTTGCAAGTTACAACTTTAAAAATGTAGAACTAAAGATGCACCTCAAGGAAAATGTTGTTTTAATTTTTAAAAACCCTCTAATTGATCATCTCGACATCGAGATGTATAAATATATATGTAAAAAAAGATTTTGAGTCCTAGAAATAGTGCATTTTGCAACATATTATCTAGACCGTTCATTTTCAAGATTTCCATATTTTATAGATCTACTTGATTTTAACCATTTTTGAAATTTAAAAATTTATAATTAGATGTAAAAGTAGATTTTAAGGTAATCCCAAAAATTATTTACACCAAAAGTACATGTTATGATAAAATTTGGATGCGTGCCTCAATTGGATTGTTTAGCCTCAATTGGATTGTTTAAGATTGCAACCGTATAGAAACTGCACCCCCATCAATAAAGATCATATGAAGAACTCAAGAATAATAACAAAGATAAAACGAAAGCAAAATAGCTAAAGGTCAATGATCGACAAATAGTAATAGATACAGGACATGATATAGCCACAAGAAGTGGCCGGCGCAAACTTGAAAGTTGAAAGGATAACACCCAACCTGAAAGGATTCTAATAAGTTGCCAATAAGATCAAGCTTACTGTATTTATGCAGATATTTATATACTTCTATTATTTTGAAATGCCCCACTTTATATATCTTTATATTCGGATCTTTTATTTTCTGCACTGTTTTTTTTTTTTTTGCCCAAAACTTGATTTTTATGATCTATATTTACAAGATGTTCTGAGAGCTTTGTTGATCTAACTTTTCTTTTCTCTTCGAACCTTTTATTCAAAGCTTTATTTTCTTCCTGCCCATTTTATTTTCGAGAAATTTATCAAAAACATATTTGAACTTTTCAAGTTTTTAAGAACGTAACAGTTAGCTTTTCTAATTATTCCAACGCATGGTATAAGATGAAATTTTATTATAGCTGTAAATAATTTTTTTTAAAAAATTAGATGGTATTATAAAATAAATTTTAAATTTATTTATAGAGGACAATAACACCTTGCATATTAATTAAAAAAAAAAATGTTCTTATTGGATTTTTTAAAAAAATATTTATAATAATTTTTTATAATTTTTTTGAATTTTTTTTTAAAACAGAATGCGATGAATTCGATCAATTTCGAATCCAAAACATCCTTTCACCGATTCGAATCGGTAATGGGTTGCCTGAGGTACCAATCTGTTTTCTAAACCTGCATCGAACTTACCCGAGTTGGCATCCGATTCCTGAATTTCAAACGCTATTAAGAAACCACACGTCGTAACGTAAAAAATTGAAAGGTAATTTAGAAGTTCTTTGGGCGTTGGATTGCACTCCAAATACATGGAGTTGCAGGCTTTTTTGTGTCTTCGACCGGACCTTTTCTCCTCCATTGCCAAATACCCCATTAAACTCAGAGCAAAATGTAGAACCCATCAAAAACCCATATATGAAAGCTTGCACTTTTCCATTCACTCTAAACCGAATGCTCTCTCCGCTTTAAATGAAGAGAATCGCATTACAGTTTACTCAAAACCCGACTCCCTTTCTGCATCGATGGAATATTCTCCTTCTAACTTCAGTGACAGTAAAGAGGTTACAGATTACTTGAAACCCAAGTCTCTCTCTACTACATGGAATGAGAAACCTCTCTCTACCTTGAATGAAAATACCCAATTCACAATCTTCTCCAAATCCCAACCTTTTGAAGAAACAATACAATTCTTCAATTCAATGCCCCTTAAAGATACTGTGACATGGAACATCTTCATCTCTGCTTCTACAAAACAAGCCTATTTCGATTCGTCTCTGCAACTCTTTGTAGAGATGTTAACTTCTCATTATCACCCTGATGCTTTCACCATTAGAGCAGTTCTAAAGGCAATTTCAGGCCTGAATCACCTTGAATTTGCTGAACAAATTCATGGGTTTGTTGTCAAAGCAGCCGAATTGTACTTTGATCTTGTCATTATCACAAACTTAATTGATATCTACATAAAGAACAGCTTAATTGAAAATGCACGCCAATTGTTTGATCGAACCGTAGAGAGAGATGTAGTGGTGTTTACAGCCATGATGAGGGGTTACACAGAGGAAGAGAACTGTGAAGAAGCTCTGAGATTGTTTCGAGAAATGGTAGAAGAGCCCATACCTCCAAATGAGTTTTCCTTTTCCTGTGTTTTAAGAGCTTGTGCAAACCTTTTGGCTTTGGAAGAGGGTAAACAAGTTCACTCTTACATTATAAAAGAAGCAGTGAATTCTGATGTGTTTGTGGGCACTGCATTGGTAAATTTGTATGCAAATTGTGGGGACATGGAGAGTTCAGAGTTGGCATTTACAGAGATTTTCGAGCCAAGTGTTATTTCTTGGAATGCCTTGATAGGTGGGAGCATTTCAGGAGAAGAAGCTTTAAGGTTCTTTAATCTTATGAGATTTACTGATACAAAACCAGATGATATAACTTTTGGGTTGCTTGTTAGAGCCTGTGATGTTAACTTTGGTTGGGGTAGTATGATTCATGGAGCCATATTAAAATATAATTTACAGAGAGATGCATTTGTATGGAGTGCACTAGTTGTAATGTATGCAAATTGTGGGCATAAATTTGAAGCATTTCGTGTATTTTGTGAGGCTAAAGAAATGGGAAATGATCCAGATGAGGCTACTTTAGCATTTCTCCTTAGAAGCGTTGGGGATGTAACACAAGGAAAGCAATTACATACATTGATTATCAAACTTCGAGTCAGTGACAATGCAGCCATTGCTAGCTCACTGGTTTCTATGTACTGTGAGAATTTCTTCTTAAAGGAAGCCCAGGAAGCATTTAACAGAGTTTCCCAGCCTGATGTAGTCTTATGGACTGCAATCATATCAGGGTTTGCTCAAGGTGGAGAAGCTGCAAGAGCCCTGCAATTCTATGCCAAAATGGTATTTGAGGGGTTTGTGACCCCCAATCATTACACTTATTCCAGCATTCTAAGTGCTTCTTCTGAACTTGTTGCAATAGAAGAAGGGAAGCAAATCCATTCCCAAATACTCAAATCAGGCAATGATGTCCATTCTGATGTCTTTGTTGCAAGTGGTTTGGTTGATATGTATGCAAGAAGTGGTTTTATCATGGAAGCTCGAAAACTCTTTGAAAAGATGCCTAAAAGAGATATAGTTTCATGGAATGCCATGATCATAGGCCTAGCTCAACATGGATTTGCGGAAGAAGCAATAGAGACCTTCGAAGAGTTGCTAAAGTGTAGATATATAAAGCCCAACCATGTCACATTTGTGGGGGTCCTCTCAGCATGTAGCCATAGGGGCCTGGTTGAAGATGGGTATCAATATTTCTTCTCGATAAAACGAGTTCATGGCCTTGAACCCACAATTGATCATTATGCATGCATGATCGATCTGGTTGGGCGAGCTGGGCTCTTAGAAGAAGCTAAGAAGCTATTGGTTACCATGCCTTTTGAACCTAATGAATTGGTTTGGTCTACATTGCTTGGAGCTTGTAGTATTCATGGCAACATAGAGTTGGGTGAGCTTTCTGCAAAAGAGTTAATTCAGTTGAATCCAAAAGACCCTGCAACCTATGTTGCTCTATCCAATATTTATGCTTCCTTTGGAAGGTGGGATGATGTGAAGAAGGTTAGAAACAGAATGAGAGCTCGAAGAGTGAGAAAGCAACCAGGTAAGAGTTGGATCAGAGTGGATGGAAGCACCCACATTTTCTTTGCAGGACACAATAAGTTACATCCTCAGATAGAGAGCATATTTAGAGAGATTGAGGAATTGATGGGGAAGATAAAGGACGAGGGATATATGCCAATGTCTGAACTTGTGTTGCATGATGTGGAGGCAGCAAGGAAGGAGGAGATTCTATTGAATCATAGTGAGAAATTGGCCATCACTTTTGGACTTATGAATGCACCTCCTGGATCCACAATCAGAGTCTTCAAGAATTTGAGAGTGTGTGGTGATTGCCATTCCGCAACCAAGTTTATATCCAAGGTTATGGAAAGGGAAATCGTTGTAAGGGATGCTTATAGGTATCATCATTTCAGAGATGGGTCTTGCTCTTGCAAAGATTTCTGGTGAAAATTTTGACCACAATTGATAAGGCTCCCAATATTATCTTTCTTTCTCTCTCTCTCTCTCTCTCTCTTAATATACTCCCTTGTCACTCTCTACTGTTTTCTTCCTCCAATGCTCTCCGTATGATTACGGAGTGTGAGAAATCTACTTAAAGCCTCCAGAAGATCCAAGTGGATTCACACAGAGTACAGAAGGGTGTAAGAATACCATCTAGATCACAAGTACCACCTTTGAAGTTGTGGAGTTGGTTTTCATGGTGATATTGGAGGGGCTAAGAAGCCCACTTTTTGGGTAGGTATATTATCTTTGGCAGTCCTTTTTGTTTTGGCAAATGTGCTTCCTTTGCATTTCTGCCTTGTATTCAATATTTAATATAACGTTTCTCCTTGGGGTGCAACGCTGACGATATATTATTTTGTTTTTCATAAGAACAAATGAACTTTAATCTTTGAACCCTCAACCTCCCTCATTGAAATCAATATGCCAAACCACTTAACCAGAGGTCTTTGGACATGATGAAAATCACCCTGTTTTCTACTTGGACCTTTTGTTTTCAGTATATTTAGTTGGAGTGTCGAACATTGGTATGGTCATTTTGTTACTCCTTTTGGGTGGTGCGATGATTTTCACTTGTTAATTTCTTACAAAGCAATTCTAAATATACCTTTTCCTCATGATACTTTGTTTAGGGATGCCTATTTCTACATTAGGAGATAAAAACTAAGATGTGTTTTGTCACACACAATTCTATCTGAGTTTTGTTTCTTGATATTAGGACTTCAGAAAAGAGAAACCCCTTAAATTTGTTCGTAATGTTTACCACTGGCAGGCTGGACCTTTGTGTCATATTTTTCGGATCTTCTTTATGCTAATGACGGTCAGTGTTGCAGAAATGTTTGATACTTCCTTAAAGGTTTGTATCTCTCTTTAATACATTGCTGTTCCTTTAAACCAATATTTAATCCTTTTATTTCCTATACTGGGTTGAATTATTGTTTGTCATAACCATCATTTATCAAGGCTCCCTAATTTCTTTGCATGTATCTACGATGCAGTTTTGTTTACTAATTTAGATTCTCTTGGGCCTTTCTCAATGCTTGGGCAGTTGGGCTAAAGGACATTGTGATCTCAAGTACAAGTTTAAGTTATCCAACATTTGTTATTAGTTGAAAACCAAACTTTTATCTGTTGGGCTCATATCATTCTAGTCTTCTTGCAAATATGGGGATGCATGTAACAAAGCCCTTACTCTGTCAAAAACTATGTCATCCGTGAACAACACACACCACAATACCTCATCTTATAGGCGTCTAGTTAACTCGTCCATAACCAAAACAAATATATATATATATATATATATATATATATATATAGTAGTAGAAGTATTGTACTTTAGAAGTATTGTCGTAAGTACGAACAAACTACAGTCGTAACCTTAAACTTACTAAGTATAATTAAATTAAGAACTAAAA